AGCAGAAGGTATCAAAAGTTTCTTTGGCGTACTTTATTATTCCGCAATGGTAGCTAGCTTCTCTCCAACAAAACATCTATGGATCCCATGTTTCCCTTTAAAGTCTCCGCTGCATGCTGATTTTGCGATCTATGATGATTCTCAAACTGAAGTGTGACCAGTCGCTCAGTTGATATCCGTAGAGGTGTTTTTTTGTGCATCATCATTGGGGCCCCTATCGATGATCAGCGTGAAGTTATAGAGTAGAGGCCGATTTTTGCATCACCGACCAATATTGAGCATCGGTCTTGTTGCTATTGGTATGTTCCTCCATTGATCGTACGATACTCTAAAATGCTCTCGGAAAGCGAAGCAATAGATCTTGCAGTGGAATCATCACCAGGGGCACTATCTTGGCCGTTTTCGTGGGGGAGGCCCTGATTCGGTCAAGTCGCGTTTAGTAACAGGTCATTGAAGAGATGTTTGAAGGGCTGAGCTGTTATGTTAGGAGTAGCGAACCTGCTGCGTCCAATGTTCGGCCGGCAAGATGCCTGAAGGGAATGCCCCGGCTCTAGGGAATTCTTCCTCTACCCGTTGTGGCGGCGCCATGACCTGGCTTTCAGCCATGTGGTTAGGGTAGTACACTACCGGAAGCCGTAGGTTTCTTCCAAGAAAAAAAATTGCGATCGAGCACTGCAAAAAACTTAGGTTGAGATCTGTCGAATATTCTAATCCCACACTGATGAAGTGTATACAATGTCTACATTGGCATAATGAAAAGAAAGAACATCAGACAAGCTGCTTCAGCTAATTTAAGGGCCGGGTCGGGGCACAAACCATTTTCTTTCGTCAACGCCCTTGCCGCTCCAAGGGAATATACCGATCGAGGAAGTTAGGCGAGTTGAGCTTCGACAGAAACAGTATTGCTGTCCGGTAGAGATCTGGAGTAACACTTGACGAGTCATAGATGGGTACTGAGCCAAGAGCTTGAACCCTCGAAAAACCCCTGCGCCTATCTTACAAGTGCAGAAACCTCTCTACCAGCGTCCAGTTCCGCAATCGTCAACACCTTCGCGATAGTCAAAGACATGTACAGAAGGAAATTCCTTGCCTGTGACGTGTTGGACGCACACTGTGTCCATGATAGGAATTAGATGATGAAAGTTTATCGCGCCCAATTATCATCACAAAATGGGGTGAATGGAGTGGAGCATTTTCAGGCGATGGCTGTGCGAAGAGAACCATGAGTCCAGATTCCGTCAACTGATAAACAACGATATGTGCGCCCGCCTTCACCTCAACGTTATATCTCGGATGAGAATAGGAAAGGCCCATTGCTATGAACCAGGCCTTTTCTCATCACACTTGGTAGATCGTAAATGCATGAGCGCGGGGATTGGGATTGCGTCAGAAATAGGATAACTTAGCCGCGCGTCGCTACCAATACGCATGCTTGTGACGCTGGGTGCATCGTTGAATCTGCGCTAACGATGGATAGGGCAGCTCAAGTATGTTTTACGGGTGCCTACTTACCTCCTGTGCCGCAATGACGATCTTGCCACTGAACACTACCATGGTAAATGCTCTTGAGTGTAGAATATCAAAAACAAAAAGCCTTCTCTACTGCCAGAATTCTTCTTAGCACACGCCCATCTGCCACGTTTTCAGTCAGTTACATTGTTGTTGAGCATACGAACGCCATGGCACCAGATGAGAGCCCCGTGGCCACCGACGGCAGTCGAGATAGCAGCGGGCCGGTCCCAGGACATCCTACCGAGACTTTCAACACCGAAGAGCCCCGGCATAATGCGGTGGAAGACGAGTCCCGCTACCCTACAGGCGCTCGTTTCTACCTCATTATATTCTCTGCCGCTTTGGTCCTGATCCTCTCTGGGATCGATACGTCCATCGTCGGAGTAGCTGTACCCAGCATAACCGACCATTTCCACACAGTGGCGGATGTTGGATGGTACAGCGCTGCGTTTCGCCTCTGCGCGTGCAGCTTTCAATTCATGTTTGGAAAACTCTATAAGATCTTCCCAATTAAGACTGTCTTTCTCGTGAGCGTCGTCATCACTATGATTGGGTCTACACTGTGTGCTGTAGCACCTTCAAGCGCCGTCTTCATACTTGGTCGTGCAGTCTGCGGATTCGCATGCGCAGGCATCATCGCAGGTTGCTTTGCTCTCTTGGTTTATATCCTTCCGTTGAGAAAGCGACCTCTATACGCTGGAATTCTTGGAACGGTAGAAGGACTTGCCGTTATTGCCGCGCCTATCCTGGGCGGAGCGATTGTTGAGGGCCTTGGTTGGCGGTGGTGTTTTTGGATCTCGATTCCACTCGGCGGAGTCACTCTGGCTGTGCTGTTCTTCTTTCTCTCGGACATCAGACCGCAGGAACAGTATACTTGGCGTGAAAAGCTTTCTCATCTAGACCTATTGGGCAATGCTGTCTTCGTACCCGCTTTGACTTGTCTCTTCATGGCCCTCAGCTGGGGCGGTGCCAAATATCCCTGGAATTCTCCAGCTATTATCGCCCTTTTTGTCACCTTTGTCATTTTGGTGGGTGTATTTGCATGGGACCAGCATCGGAAAGGAGATGCCGCCACTTTGCCGCCTCGCATTCTACGTAACCGTTCGGTGCTGGCTGGATTCATCTTCTCCATGAGCTGTAATTCGGCTGTGAATATTTTCGAGTACTACCTACCGACCTACTTCCAATCCATCCGCGAGTACACCCCTGCCAAGAGCGGCTACTTGATGCTACCTATCGTTATTGGTTATATGATAGGAATGCTGGCACATGGCTCCGGAGTGTCGTTAACGGGATACTACACCCCATTCATGCTTGCGGGGTCTCTGTTGATGCCCATCTTCTCTGGACTCATGACAACACTGACTGTCAACACAGACTTGGTTAGGATATTGTGTTATTCCGGCTTCTATGGATTTGCTACCGGCATTGGATTTCAGGGGTCCCAGAGCGCAGTACAGACGGTGCTACCTGCCAACGATGCAACCGTTGGGCTTGCAATCATTATATTCGCTCAGCAATTTGGTCCCGCAGTTTTCGTCTCCGCTGCCCAGAGCATTTTCATCAATCGTCTTTCAGAGAATCTGCATGACCTGGCCCCTAGTCTGAACTCAACGAATATCGAAGCTATGGGCTTGACTGATCTCAAAGACCAAGTTGGGGTTGAGAATCTGCGTGGCGTACTGTTAGGCTTCGACAAGAGTCTTATGCAGACATGGTATTTAGCAGTCGCTCTGGCGTCGATCACCTTGATCGGGAGTGTTGGGGTGGAGTGGAGAAGTGTCAAGCATAAGAAGACTTGATTCGGTCATTCAGTAATAGGAGTGCTGCTTATAAAAGTACCCGATCAGGCGACAGTCTATCAAGAAAATGGTGCCCGTATCAATGCAGCTAGTCAATGATGTTTCATTCAGGACTTTCTTGCCTGTGGGGACCGTTGGCCGAAATCCATCTCGGCTCCGGGCGATTAAAAGACCACCGAGCGCCGACGAAATCATCAGAGTTCCAGTAGTCCACATCATTATGGCTTTCTTGGTCGGGATAATTAATACTTACTCCGCTTGAATCCCTTAACTCCATGAAAATAGTTCTTAGAGCCTGTTGTTAAATAGGCTACAAGTGGTGGGTAGTTCAGAAAGCAGACAGTTCTTGTGCTGGCGAGCTATGAATATAGCCGCCTTACCACAAAAATTAGACATGACTACCAAGATTATAGGACTTATCACAGGTATCAAGTGTAAAAGAGTAAACTCGCCTGCCGGATTGCTAAATCAGCTAATAATCAGGTGCTAACTGAGGAATTGGCTACGAAACAGCAAGGATCCTCCTCGAATCCCCTGGATATCATGTTTCACTCGGTTGTCGAGATAGAAATATTGGTGAAACAGCCGCGAGAACTTTACGTTCGTTGTGAATAGTTAGAGGAACCGTTGAGCCTGTTGAGATAGATGTTGTCTCTGATGCATCCGTCGATGCCGCTATCGCATCTATTACATCGATTCACGGACGGGTTGATGTGCTCGTAAAAAACGCAGGTATCTTCCGGCGTGGTGAACCACGAGTCATCGCTCGTGAGATCTTCAGCACCAATGTGATTGGAGCAATTAGTGTCACAGAGGCTTGCTTGCCATTACTTCGTGCATCCATTCTAGCGGGCAAAACACCTCGACTAGTTTTTATCTCTTCAAGCACCGGCTCCCTAAGCTATGCCTCTGACCCAAGCAGCAAGTACTATGCTCCCCTATCAATTGAGTACAGGACCGGCAATGCAGCTGGAAACATGCTGGTTATTCACCACTGGGTCAAATTGCAAAATGATGGTATCTTGGTCTTTGGGGCTGATCCAGGTCTCGTTGCTACAGGCTTTGCAGAAGACCCGAACATGTTACGACAACGAGGTGCCGTAGATCCAGGAGTCGGAGGAGAGAGAATTGCAGCAATAATTTGAGGTAATCGATATGCTGATGTTGGAAAAGTTTCCGGGGAATACGGTGTCATCCCGTGGTAACTGCCATGCGGCATGGTAGCCGAAGCCTTGCCAGCGTCTTCAGATATTTCAAAAATCTAACGATATCCAATGCTTCTTGCCGATGAGCTGCGGAGTTTTCTCATACAAGGCATTATTATATGCTCCATTAATTGGTGGCATTATGCGCCTCACCAAGGTGTTTAATCTATCCGGACTTCATTCGGAATCGCACACTAGTGACACCTAATGAGCATTGCTAGTAATGAGTAGGTGGGGAGGGGGGCAAACAGTGATAAGGCCAAATGTCTTCCCCACTCTCATTCTACGCTACCTGTGTTTTGTTTGTGTTATGAATGATTCCATATTAGGCTCCTGACCGTGTGTTTCTGCTTTCGCCTTGGGCTCAGCCAGTTGACCAGCCTGAATACTAAACCGCAAACCGTGTTTGAGCCATACCCTAGAACTATAACTGTTGTACTTGTGCTTATCAATTCTGAGCCCCTGATGAGAGAAGATCACCATGGCGGAGACTGCTGTACCTATCATTGACTTTTCGGGTAAGCAATCAGTCGACTTATCAGATAAAACACATTACATGGATGTATGTGTTGCTGACTATCGATTCAGGGTTCTATTCGAGTGATCCGGCCCAAAAGAAGGCGATAGTGGATCAGGTCCGCGAACAATGCCTCTATAATGGATTCTTCCAGATCACCGGTCACTCTGTTCCCCTGACTCTCCAGGAAAATGTCATGTCGTGCACTAAGAAGTTCTTCAATCTTCCTTTAGAGGCAAAGCAGAAATGTTCCAAGGATAATAACACTTGGAATCGTGGTTATGAGATGTTACGATCCCAAATTCTCGAAGAAGGCACTCAGCCGGAGTTGAAGGAAGGTTTCTACATTGGCGCAGATATTCCCACAAGCCACCCCTATTTTGTGAATAAGAAACTCAACAGTGGGCCAAACCAGTGGCCAGAGGCTCTGGCATCGGAGCTTCAAGACTTCAAGGATGGCACTATGGAGTATTATAATGCCACACTAAAATTGGCGGCAGATCTTCTGAAGGCTATTGCTCTATCCCTCGATCTTGAAGAGGAGTACTTCGGAAAATTCATGGATGGAGCTGTAGCAACCATGCGTCTTCTTCATTATCCTAGCCAACCCGCCGATTGCGACGAAAAGCTCACACGAGGCATCGGGGCCCACACAGATTTTGGAGCAATCACGTTGTTGCTTCAAGACAACGTCGACGGGCTTCAGGTGTGGGACAAGAAGACTAATTCCTGGTTCGATGTAAGTCAGTCCACCATTAAGTCAGGGCTCCTTCTGAACTAAGGAACAGGTTGAGCCGACCAAAGGTGCCTATGTTGTGAATCTTGGCAATCTTATGGCACGGTGGACAAATGAAAAGTACAAGAGTAATATACATCGCGTGATCAACAAATCAGGCAAAGAGAGGTACTCTATTCCGGTCTTCATCTCAGGCAACCCGGACTACCTCGTGGAATGCATTCCAAGCTGCAAGGCTGCTGATGAGGAAGGCAAGTTCCCTCCAATCACAGTAGAACAGGCAGTGTCTTCCTCATATGCGGAGTCCTACGGTAGAGCACAAAAATACAAACAAGGTCTGGAGAAAGCACTGGATCACGCGATGCAAACTCCTCAAGTCTCAGTTGCTTGACCATGTATTTAAAGCACAATTAACAGTGCTCATGTAGCAAATAGTTCTCATAGGAAATTGATGACAAGTGGCTTTGCAACATACTCCAACCACGCACCAGCCCTGGGTCTTTTCCTACATTCACGTACGCCGATTCTCTTCCTCCGCAAATAGCGACATTACCTAATTACACAACATGAGTCTCATGCTTTGCTGGCCGATGTCTTTGTCAAAAGGTGTTTCAACATTTCGTAAAGATTCACCGGCTAAGTCTTCCCCACTTTCGACAATGTTGGACCGACACGAGGAATATCTCGACGGATCCCCACGCTCCCTTCCTCTTCTTATCGTGTCAATTTAGCGGGTTTCGTTAGTGTATGTATGCTTAACCTCATTACGCCACTATCATTAATCAGGAGCGCTATACAACTTGTTTGCGGGGCAGATAGCGCTTGTTTCTTGGTAATCACCTGCAGTTGTAAATGGAAGTCTTATCACAGTGCCGCAATCCCGGGTTGCCAAAGGTCAACCAATGCATTTTGGTTTGTCGTCCAAGATTTGAGTTCATAAATACTAAAAAGAGCCGCTTTCTCTTTTAAAAAAACCCCTTACATTCACCTGTCATTCCTTATCCAGCATATCGAGACCTAGAAGTAGACATGGACATTATGGAGAAAGCAGTTCAGGATGATAACAAACGAGTTGGCTCTACAGCTTCTGAGGCTGGGGAAGGGTCTCAACTCATGTTCGACAAGGCGGTTGAAAAGGCTTACGGTAAGAAATTCTCTCTCAGCAATTATATTCAGCTGCTTACAAAACAAAAAGTCAGGAAGATGGATGTGTGGCTACTCCCGTTCTTGAGTGTCATGTACTTTTTCAATGCTGTCGACCGAGTTAGTGAACGCTTATAACCGATCTGTCATACACTTGGTTAACAGAACTTTAGAGCAATTTGGGTAATGCTCAAACTGATGGTATGGGCAAAGACATGCACTTCGTCGGTGAACAGTATTCATTATTGATATTGTTATTCTATATCCCAAACGGCCTTTGCGATCTCCCCTTGAACATGCTCACAAAGAAATTCTCGGGTCGAGTCGTACTTCCTACACTCATGGTTGGATGGGGTGCCATGGCTCTTATCCAGACAGCCTGTAAGAACTTTGCAGGCATGCTTGTAATTCGGTTGATTCTAGGGTAAGTCCTGAGAAGCTTTTTGTGGGATCCGTGTAACTAAATTCCGCCAGTGGTCTTGAGGCCGGCTTTTTCGCTGGTGCTGTATTCTATCTCACTCTCTTTTACACTCGTGGAGAACTTGGCTTTAGAATTGCGCTCTTCTTTGGCAGCGCTCTTCTCGCTGGAGCCTTCTCTGGGCTGATCTCATTCGGTGTCTTCCAGATTGAGTCTCACATCAAAGGATGGCAATGGCTCTTCATCATCGAAGGTAAATCATTTGAATCCAGCTATCAATCATACAAGAGGGTGCTAAGATACGATTGTTCCAGGCGGCTTAACTGTCATCTTTGGAATAGCGGCCTTCTGGTGGCTTCCAGCCAGTCCTCAAACTGCTTGGTTTCTCACTGAGGCTGAGCGAGAGGCCGCAAAGCATCGGGCGTTGCGTGACGGTTCTCGAAAAGTTGGCGAAGAGTTCAGCCTCCGGGAGTGCTTCCGGACATGGCACGATTGGAAGTTTATATTGTGGTGCATCATCTCGTTCACATATCCTGTTGCATTCTCCACGACAGCCAACTTTCTGCCGCTCGTCTTGCAGAGACTAGGCTACAGCGTAGTTGTTACGAACCTCCTGACGGTGCCTCCAAATGTTGTCGGATTCCTCATTCTATTGTGCGTTACCTTCAGCTCAGACCGAAACCGAGAACGCACGTTTCACATTATTGGCAGCCTCACGTTGTCGATGACAGGTTTGCTCATTCTCGTCGGCATTGACGCGCAAGCAAATAAGGGCGTGGCTTATTTTGCAACATTTCTCCTCGCAGGAGGTGCTTACATACCGAGTTGCTTGGTTCATTCTTGGCACAATAACAACAATCTCAGCGAGAACTCGAGGGCTGCTACCACAGGACTCTTGGTCGGACTCGGAAATCTTGGTGGCATATTGAGCGCGTCCACATTCCGAACGCAATATGCACCTAGATATGCACCGACGCTAATTGCTACGGCGTGCTGCAACTTCACGTGCATCTGCTTCACACTGTGGATGGGTCTGTGGATGAGACGACAGAACCGCCTCAAAAACCAAGAGCAGGGTGTCTCACTAAGGGCCGAGGATGTTGATACTAGTCAGTTGCAGGGCGGCGACAAGGACCCAAAGTGGAGATACTTTGTATAGCCACAGAAGGTGTTGCTCTTTTTTGCAATCCGGGAGACGGTGCCAGGGGGAGCAGGACATGTTAGATCAGGTGTTCAAGTCAAGAGCGACTTACATTAGTTTCACATCGGTGTCAATTAGTATTAGAATGCTACCACATAGTTACACCACCATCCACACGAATATCTGACCCAGTGCAGTAGCTGCTAGCATCACTAGCCAGGAACACACAGGCGCCTTTGATATCGTCTGGCTCAGCTACCCTCCCGTTCATTATCTCGTCTTTCCATCCTTCCATGAGATGAGGGAACGGGGCCGTCATTTCTGTGCGGACATATCCCGGACTAATCGAGTTCACCCTAATACCGTACTTGTTCATTTCAGCTGCGATCGGTGCCACCATTGCTCTGACAGCACCCTTGGTGCCGCAATAAGCAGATGATCTTTGGGATCTGATTGCCATGTGACTTGCGATGCTCGCAACGAGGATGATACTGCCGACCTTCGTGCCGTTCTCGATCATAGCCTTTGCAGCCAGCTGCGCCGCGAAGAAAACGCCTCTGCCATTGACTGCAAACAGCTTGTCATAGTCTTCCTCGGTGGTGTCAAGAAACTCGACATTCTTATTTACACCCGCGCAGGCTACCAAGATGTCCAACTTGCCATCGAAGTCTGCCTTGACTGACGCGAACCCCGAGGCAAGGCTACTCGTGGAGGTTACATCGACGTGATAAGACTTTGTTTGTACACCAAAGTCCTTAGATATTGTGTGGAATCCCGAAGCTGGCTCGATCATATCGAAGATGGCGATATCCGCGCCAGCCTCTGCGAGCCCCTGAGCGAATGCAAGCCCACAGCCACGTGCCCCTCCTGTGATGACGGCCACCCGGCCCTTGAGCGAAAACTGTTTATATTGTTAACCATGTAGCAAAGTATTGAGCTTTTATGGCTATATGGCCGGCATACCTTGCTCATGCCTGTGCAATGTGTGTTTTGGTTGCTTAATCGCCGAGCCCTGCTGTTGTGGTGCAGGTGCCGATAAGAGGAATAGCAGAAATTAAACAGGGCAAAACGGTACTTGGAGGTCAAGATGTTGGCATCAGTGTAGCTCGATGAGAATAGTTTACATAATACACATTCGTTGCAGCAGGCAAATCTCAGCTTGCCAAATGGTTGGGCAAAAGCACGGAGTGGGAGCTGAGGTGGTGACAGTCCGGTCAGTTGCACTTACACAGGCGGGGGCCTCCCCACTCACGAGTGCGTCAATACCCATAACGAACGCTAAGAACGTGTTAACCACCATTGGTTACAGCACTACGGTGTCAGGACGTCTCAGCAAAGGTGGGATGGGCTACCTTTCCCCTTCTGTCTCCTCGGTTGGCTTGAAGATTCCGTTGATGAACTATTCTCTACCTACATGCTCCAGTCAACCCAGCTTCACTAGGTAGAATAGGCCTTGCAGCGCTGTTATCCTTGGGGCCAGGTTGTCCCGCTACTAATCATGGAGACTACTGGGCACCTACATAGGGAGTTCTTACCAGGCCCCGCATGTACATGTACATATACATTACATACATAGATTAGTGTAATCTTGAGTCTCCAGCGAAGTGTAGATCTTAGTCTAGATGGCGAGTTCCGACGCCGAGGGGCCAGCTTATCTCTTGGAAATGCGCTCTCGGGATGGGACATGCCGCCAATGCTCTCCCATCCGTCCATCGGAAGCCGCAGCAGTACGAGAGCAGTCGCACCAGATGATTAGCTGGCAGCCCTCAATTGGAGAGTTTAGGGGGAAAGAGTGAGGGGTTGTGCCATGACGTACGGCAGCTGGCCCTGTCTCTGTTAGTGGGGTGCAGGAGAGCCATGGATTGATTATCTTCTCTTCACTAGGGGAGATTGACCTTTTCTTCAGATAGCAGCTTGAAGCTCTCACGAGCCCCTCCTTTTTGCATGTCTATCTAAGCTTTTGCACCTATTTTGCTCTCTTTATTTCTTAACTCACTTGCCTGTGAACAATTGACCCAAGCGCCGTGTGATCACATCCACTGTGATAGCTGCTTATCTAGTGTTCCCGACAGATAAGATATCAACTCATCGCTTCCCTTGCTACTTGCAGAATGGGCAAGAAGAAGGTTCTCGTCGGGTATGTAAGGGTTTTCGTGCTATACAATGTCGTCTGGGGTGTCGATCACTGATTATGACGGTTTAGATATGGAGTCGACATCGACGCCGTTGCGGGCTGGCTCGGCTCGTACGGAGGCGAGGACAGCGGTAGCGACATCAGTCGAGGCTTGTTCGCCGGCACTCTGGGAACGCGACGTGTGCTAAAGCTCTTTGACAAATATAATATTAAGGCATCGTGGTTTATTCCCGGTCATTCTCTGGAGACCTTCCCAGAAGAGTGCGCAATGGTTCGGGATGCCGGCCATGAAATTGGGCTCCACGGTTATAGCCACGAGAATCCCGTTGATATGACTATCGAGCAGCAGCATGATGTGCTGGACAAAACCTTCCGGTTGCTGACCGATTTCTGTGGGAAGCCTCCGCGCGGCAGCGTCGCTCCGTGGTGGGAGACCAGCGAGGAGGGTACCGAGCTGATGCTCAAGTACGGCATCGAGTACGATCATAGCATGCTACATCACGACTGCGAGATGTACTGGCTGCGCACTGGTGACACTTGGACCAAGATTGACTACAGCAAGAAGGCCGAGACCTGGATGAAGCCTCTGGTCAAGGGCAAGGAAACAGGCTTGGTAGAGATCCCTGGAAGTTGGTACATCGACGACTTACCGCCCATGATGTTCATGAAGAACTCAGCAAACTCACATGGCTGGGTCAATCCTAGGTTTGTCGCACGTCTATAGACTTGATGTTTCTCTTCACTAACCCGGCGACCAGGGATATCGAGGATATTTGGAGAGATCATTTCGACTATTTCTACCGCGAATACGATGAGTTCATCTTCCCGATGACCATTCATCCAGATGTTTCTGGCAGACCACATGTTGTCCTAATGCACGAACGGTAAGTCTCAATCGATTTTCTCCTTTTAGGGCACTCGTTTATACTGCTGTCGACAGTCTTATCGAATACATAAATAGCCATGAAGGTGTTGAATGGATGACAATGGGAGAGATGTGCGATTACTTCAAGAGCAAGAATCCAGCACCCGAGGGAGCAATCATGCCTGCAACTCCAGAAGAGGTCATGAAGATGTTAGAAGAGACGAAGGCAAAAGTTTGAATAAATTTATAACTTATGTTTATTTGTGATACCATCATTTCCCCGCCCACCTTGTTGGGTAAGTGATCTCAATTACTGGTACTATTCTTGATTAAATCATCGACCACTTTGCCAACTGCAAGAACTTTCTCTTCCTCTAATTTCCGTCCAATGATTTGTACTCCTACCGGCAAGCCTAAACGAATCATATCTTCTTTGTTCTCGTTCCATAGTTTGGCATTCCATTCATCCATCTCGTTCCTACTCTTGAAATCCCACTCTGTGCCAGCATCCCTACTATCCACTCTTCCAGCCGGCAATACGAGTGCTGAGTAGTCTAGTAAATTCCAAACCTTCGTATATCCAACCCATCGGCACCCATTATGAGGCACACTTGTGTGAGGCATTGGCGGCATGATAATGACGTCGACTGCTGGCTGAACACTCTTCCACTTTTCTAAATATGCCTGCTGTAGAGCCCATTTCTGGCGGTTGAGTTGCCAATACTCAAAGACGCTGATTGGTTCACCACGGTTGACCAACTTTTCAACATGCGGGATGAAGGGCTCGCCGCCTGCTGCGACGGCGCGGCGAATGTCCTCGCCACCGTCAGCCGTGTAAAAGGCATCCATGACTGCGATACACTCAGCGTGCAGGGATGGATCCCACGGAACGATAGTGTGCCCGGCTGCTTTGAGAAGAGAAATGGTTTGCTGAAGAACCCGGGTAATCGGAGGGTGCGGACGCACAACGCCGTCATCAAAAAGAACACCGATTGTCAAGACCTTAGATAGGTAAGTCTGGTACGTATCCCCTCGCCATGGTATCGGAGCACAGCGAGCATCATGCGTCCACGGTTCAGCATCGACTAGTGACTTCGTAACAGCATGTATGGAAGAAAGGCTGCGCGCAAGCGGTCCGATCGAGGAGGGGACATGTTCCTGACCCTCTGTAGAGACTGGAACTCCATGGTATGGAAGACGAGCGCTCTTGTAAGAAAATGTTAGTTCCAAGGCGTAGACTCGGGTATCATGGGGAGATGACGGACGCTTGGCTTGAATCCATAGATACCCATCATGTGGGCTGGAGCTCGGATACTACCACCTATATCCGTACCCCAGCCAACCATGCTTCCCTTTAGCGCGAGCAAGGCCGACTCGCCTCCGGTTGATCCGCCAGGGGTGTAGCGAGCATTCACGGGGTTCGTTGTCAGTCCCCAAAGAGGATTCTCGGTCTCGCTCCACTAGACGATATCCCCATAAACATCAACGGTTTCGGCGATTGGTTTCGATGACGGAAGACCCAACTCACCATGATACTCTGGGGTAAGTTCGTCTTCGCCAAAATTACTGCACCAAGAGACTTGAGCATTTTGACGAGAGTGGCATCCTCTGTAGCAGGAGCCAAGGCACGCCCAACATAGCCGATGGTTGTATCGTAGCCGGCAACATTGAATTGATCCTTCAAGGTCATGGGCACGCCGTACAGGGGTCCCTCAGAGCCGCTATTTTGAGCAAGCTTATCCAAATCACGCGCCTGCTCCTCTGCATCCGTAAACAGAATTTCTGTCAAACTGCAAGCTACTCAGTAATAGTAATGCCCTGTCAGTCCGAGATGCTAACCAGTTGGTCTGGAACGTCAGTGTGCAAATTCACCGGCAAAATTGATATTGAACTTGCAGTACCTGACGATGTGCTTCAATTGCCCTGATATCAACGTCTATTAGCTCACTATGCAACGGTATATTATACCTCGTGAACTCAGGCAGGGTACTTCTGAAATGCCTACCTTGCGATATACGCTTGTGTGACTTTCTTAGCAGTGACGCTGCCCTTGGTTATGATCTGCGCCAAAGTCTCGGCGTCGTCAATATCGAGTAGAGCCGCATCTTCCGAATCCTGGGATGAAATATCAATGACCGGGGCCCATGCTACCAGCCTAGCATCTAGTGATCATACCATCTTCAGATGTGCAAATGATTCTATAGCGGATGCTTGAGCGCCACGCTTCTGAGCCACGACATCCTGCCACAGCAACGCCATTCTTCCACTGGGAGCCTCTCAGTTGCTACCTTGGTACGTTTGCTTGAGTTCGAAGGATGATTGTGTGAAGAAACTTGTTTACTAGGTCCTTTCCCTCCTCGCTAAATGAGCTGTACAACAGTCGAGTAACACACAGTAAGTTGGCTCTTCACAATGAATCACTACGATGTTGTAATTATCGTGTCCAGTGCAGCGCAATCGGACCCCATCGATGGGCAATCCCCACCAGCGTGTCGGGCAAACTTACCGATCATTAAGTGGTATGCCGAGCACCGAGCTGAGGTAAGGTAGCAAGCTACAGTACACTGGTATCTACAGCACATTGCCATTTATCTGCGCTGATAAGGAGAAGTGGAGTTTTCATAGTTTGGTAGGCTTTATCGTTATCAATTTTAGGAAGCAAACCTGATCATTCGATTTTCACCAGCCACACTCCCACCATTGAGGTTGGCTGCACAGCCACAGAGATTTTAGCCTCCAAGTAGGTGGGCTGTGGCTGGTGAATAGACCCAGAAATCAGCACATTCAAGGGTGGGGTGGCTAGAAGCGGCCGAGACCGTTCGACAAAATGGGCAACGTGAGACGGAGTGGCGCCATTCTGGTGATCAAGGGCTTCAACAACTTCCACTTACCGTCGTGGTGAAAAAGGAGGCCCTAGACGGTGGGAAATAGCATGTCTATGACCGGAAAGACACTGTCTCTCACGTCTTCATAGTCACTGAGCACTAAAACAAGGATTTGACATTAGTCTCCCTCCATCCATTCATAGATTGGGATATAATCAGATCACACCACACCGCCGAGCCCCCTGGTCTGCGCTGCTTCAGTATGGCTCCGAGTGCCGCCGGCCATGATGTCGACATGGACGGTCCGCCGTCCGGCGTCAGCGTCGAAGCAACGGCAACAAACGGCTCTGGAGAGCCGCTGACTCTACTCCGCCCAATGGAGCAACCTGCTGAGTCCTCCGATGTATGCATCGTCGGGGCGGGACCTGCCGGCCTCATGTTGGCGTAAGTCCACAACATCGGCAACATGATGCACTCTTCACGTCTCTTATGCGCCCTTGCTAACACGCATTCTAGCGTCAACCTGGCCCGCTTTGGCATCCGTCCTGTCATTGTAGATGAGCGGCATGATCAAACCAGCACAGGCCGCGCTGATGGCATGCAACCAAAGACCATTGAGACACTGCGCATGATGCGCCTCGCTGATGACTTGCTGCGGGTCGGCACCAAAGTATTCGACATATGTCTATGGCGAGGCTTAACCGGTCAGGAGCCACGACGAGTCGGTCGCGAGGTACACTACCCGGCCTTCATTGTGGACCTCCTTGAACCATTCATCCTGATCGGCCACCAAGGAATGGTCGAGAAGACTTTTATCGACGACCTGCGCAAGCGCGGCGTTGAGGTACGCCGCAGTACTCGGTTCGACTCATATTCACCCCCTGGCGATGGTGTTGATGGCCCTCTCCTGGTAAATCTGAAGTTCAATGTGACGCAGGACGACAGATTACTCCAGACCTCTTATCTCGTTGGCTGCGATGGTGCTCATTCCAAAGTTCGCAAGACCATCCCCGACAGCTACGCTGCCGGTAGCGACGCGACGAGTGTATGGGGTGTACTAGATGGCGAGGTAGAAAGCGACTTCCCAGATATTTGGAGCAAGTCCGTTGTCTTTTCAGAGGAGTTCGGCAGCGTTTTGATCATCCCACGGGAGCGCAACATGACACGTTTTTACATCGAGATGAAGTCCACAGTATCATCTAAAAACCTCGGGCAATCATTTGTGATGCAGCGAGCCGCACAGATCCTGTATCCGTATCGGATAGCATGGCGCACCGTCGAATGGTTTGGGCGGTATCAAGTGGCACAGCGTGTCGCTGCCAAATTCACAGACCCAAAGCTCCGCGTCTTCATCGCTGGCGATGCCAGTCACACTCACTCTCCCAAAGCCGCTCAGGGCATGAACACCAGCATTCACGACAGCTGGAACTTGGCGTGGAAGCTTAACCTTGCTGTACGAGGTCTAGCGAGGCCCGCGCTACTTGATACCTACGAACAGGAGAGGCGCAAGATTGCCAAGGACTTGATTGACTTCGACTACGAGCATGCAAATCAATTTTCCGCCGGTGACGCCGCAGCACTTGCAGATAACTTTAAGAAAAATGTGCGATTTATCTCCGGCGTTGGTGTCGAATACTCAGCAAATGTCATCAATCAGGGTGAAGAGTTTGCATTAGGAGCCGCAAAGCCAGGATGCAACCCGCCGCCTGCAAAGGTGTCGAGATATATCGACGCAAACCCCGTAGACCTCCAGCTTGACATACCCGTGCTTGGCCAGTTCCGGATATACATCTTCATTCAGGACATCATGGGCGCCACCGAATCTCAGTTCCTCCTGTCCCTGTGTGAAGCCGTAGCGTCTCAGACATCCCTAATCAGCCGCTTGTCTGGGGCAGCATATGAATCATATGTCCGGAAACCGAGACTTCCCGCTCCCGAAGACCTTTTCAGGAGACCAGAGCGGTACACAGCCGTAAGCCAGTTGTTTACTTTCTCGTTGATTAGTAAGTCTCCCTTAACCTGTCACTTGATATCATATTCACGTTTCCTAGCTGTGACGGACAAGTCCGAATTCGAAATCTCTGCGCTACCGCCTCTGCTAGCAAGGAGTCCCTGGACCATATATCTAGACGACTGCCCAGAACTAGATACGCGGGGTAGTACCTGCACAGGCAAGTGGCTAGGCGGTCTCAAGCCAGGCGAAGTAGCAATCGTGAATGTCCGCCCTGAGGGGTATGTTGGCTCTGTTAGACGGTGGGATTCGACAGCGGCGACAGCAGGGCAAGAGGCTGCGGCATGGTTAGATGAGTACTATGGAGGATTTTTGCAGGTTCCAGGGTCGTCTTAGGATCAAAAGGTTAGACTAAATCATCCATATTTGTACGATACAAGGAGAGCTTGCCAGCTTTGCCCTGCTTTAGATCTCATATTGACAGAGATTTTCAAGCACCACCATGCTACAATAGAGATCCATTTTCGCTCTATGATGTCTCATATTGGTTGATCAATCGTCCTGGCACCAAGCCTCTCAATACCATCACGCCAGAATGCACAATTCCCCAGCGCACTTTGCTCAGAGCATTTGCCATGATCCATACTAAGCCACCAGTACGCCGTCTTCCTTGCATCAGCACTAAGTTCCAAGGTTTCGTTCCTGCCATGCTCGATATGAGATCGTCCATTTCTTTCCTCGCATCCCACACCATCTCACTACCCCCATCCTCGCTATCCCGATTCCACCTCCCAGGACGTGCATGATGAAAAGCCCATGATGTCAGTGTAGCGAGATATAAACACCACGGCACATGAAACAGTCCCATTGCATCGAAGTCGTCTAGATTCGTCGAGGCATCATGAAGCAAACAAGCAGCATGCCAGGCAGCCTTTGCCGCCGCCATATTCCCTCTTGCGGATCCTGCTGCCTTCGGTCCGCCAGTGTCATCCATGAAGCCGGGCGACTCGGAGTTATCAACCACCGCCCAACGTTTAACAACACGTTCAGACCGTAGATAGTCCGCACGTTGTACTGGTCGACCTAGTATATGCCGCGCTCCAGCGTAGATTTGTATGTCAAGGAACTCAGCATTCAGTAGAACGTGCGCCGCATGATAGACTGCGTTGTACGCCGTGGCGAATGTGGTGAACTCGCGGTGTGCGGCATCTTGGGCCTCTAGCCCTGTTCCAATTGCATTGTTCAATTCGGCCCGCTGCTTCACAGCAACCTCCATGCAATATGTGTCGAAGTCGGCTTTCCATAGATCATAAGCATCACAGAGTCGGTTGCGCCAATTACTGCCGCCGACAAAATTGACGACACCCAAAGAAGTTTGATCCCGTCGTTCCATGTCCCATGAGATGGACATGAGGCCATGAAGCAAGAGAATACGCGAGAGGGCATTCAACGGTGTTGTGCGTGGACCGGTTGGCGTCAGGTAAGACTTGAGCGCCGTAAGGAATAACGGCTCACGTTGATGTTGCTGGGTTTGCCCAATACGCTTCCACTCACTCGCGTCAGGGGCTTCCCAGAGGGCTTGGCTGCAGGGCATTGTAAGACGCAACTCAAATGCTGACATGCAAAGGCTCTGGCAAAAGAGCACGGCATGTTGGGTATCCCACATGAAACACAACAGAGCGAGGCGTTTCTTCTCCTCAGCCTCGGCCCATCGACGCCAATGTGAATCAAGATTAGAAGGATTGTCATCAATGTCGTAAGGTCTAACAGTCTTGACCGATTGGCAGTCAGAGCGACGGATGAGATTAATCAAGAGACCGTGAAAGAGATGGCTCATATCATGCTGCTTCTGACCAGCTCTTGATTTTCCAAAGCATTCGACCAGAAGGATGGTCTGTAAAACCCACAGGTCTGGCTTCGCACTAAAGCCGGCATGAGCGAATATCCTTGGTCGAATAACGTCGTGAATGCACACGGCGAGTTGGTGGGCGTCTTTGCTTGAGTACGTAGCGCCAAGTAATAGGACAGACAGTAAGAGCAGCGTCTGTGTCTGACTCGGGTCGAAGGTTGCATGATGTATCAGGGGATATGCAGTATTAAACCTTGTAAAATAGAGATCGCAGTAGTCCTGAAGAGCAGTAAGGGATAATAAGGGGTGGTCCCATGCATCAAAATTACCATCTGGAGTGGCCGGCTGAGATGATTCGATAAGTTCGAGCAACTGTTCCCGTGTCTCGTCATCAAGAACAGGAAGGTTGCTAGGTGATTGCAACATTGACATTGGTCTTTCAGTGTCAATATTGCTGGTCATTTCTTGAGCTTTGTTCCTAGCCGAGAATTGGGATACATCGAGACTAGCAACCTGGATTGGCGGTTGTGTGACGTGTGACTGGATGGGAATTGACATCATCGACGAATGTTTGTCATTAACAGGGCTAGCATTAGAGCTCACTTGATAATCGTGTATAATCGACACGTTTCCACTCGATACCGCAGTTACAGACCCAGGACTTTGTGGGTATTGTGAGGAATGGCTGGCTATCTGTTGACCTTGGGATGCTGCTGGATAATTCAAGTCAGGAAATGACATTGGAGGGCTGTTCAGATTCGGGTCAAGGATATCGTTCATATTGAAAAGCCAGTTGTAATTGACCGCAGTCGTATATGGCATGTTGAATGAACTTGCTGTGTCGGGCTGAAACACCTCATCATACAAGAACTCCGAGGATTGAGGTGCTGCCGAAGGCCCGCTATTGGGTACGGAATTGGATGCTATCCAAAAGGTGTCTTGACCCTGAGGCATGTATTGATCTTCAAGGCTTTGGAGGCCTTGTATTTGGCCGAAATTTCCTTCGAATGATCCAGAGACAGCATCATGCGGTTGCTCATCGATCTCGTGGTTACTAAAGTCAGAATGATCTGTAGATGTGGGCGGCGAGATGGGCACTTCTGCATAGATAGTGTCGGCTTGGATAGGGGAAATTTCCTGGGTTGGGTGGCTGCATTGTTGTGATAGACCGACTTGTTGTGGTTGATCCTGTGGAGATAAGTGACGTGCCGGGCCTGGAGAAGGTCGTTTTGTAACAACACTTCCATCAGAAGCCTTCCATGAGCGTTTGCGGGTGTTTAATACGCCACTACCTTCAGCGCCTGCTTCAGCATCCTTTTGGCGGTGTCTATTGAGGTGTCTTTCTGCAAAGATGGTAAGCGCTACTATATGTGACACATATGGACCAGAGGCCCAGGATCGAATATCGTACCAAGTAGGTCTGGACGCTTGAAGTGTGCTCGACACCGGGGGCATGTGGCGTCTCCGGCGGTGTGATTCAGTGCGTGCCGTTGCAAATGCTCGGCCCGTGTGAATCGTTTACTGCAGCCTTCGTGCGTGCAGACAAAATTCTTCGGAGCCGTTGAGCTGGCATTGTTGCCCGTCTTTCGTTGACGCTTCTCCATCTTTACAGCTCATCAATATCTTGCAATTCCCTTAGCTTTCGAACGCCGTCCCCCACCGTTCATCAACGGAATCGTTATTCTCAGAGGACAAGATCAATCCACTTCTGACAAGCTGTCTTCAGGAAAGAGGGACAGGACGGGTATTTCGTAACTCCACTTACGACAATTATGAGGCTCACTGATGCGTAAAAATGGGCTCATGTGAAAGGTGGGAGGGGGTTAGCAACTTGCGATGATAGCCGTACGCCGAAGAGACGATCGTTACTCCACTTTTGATACAGGATCGTGATTGCTTCTTATCAAAAGTGGGAGGACAAATTGGCCGGCGCTGACTGGCGCAAGTTGCATGCGGCACTTGTTGGCTTGGGCATTTATTTCTTTAGCCAAGTCTTACCTTACCAATCTAGTGTGTCATTCGGACGCAGCCGACAGATAGCCAACCCCTCTCGGAACACCACTTGCATCACCATGCTGCATTCGAAGCTTGTCCCACTCCAGTCATACCGTTCTCGCGAGCCGAGTGATGTAGAACCAAGAGTTGACTGGCTTGCTGGGACTGAAGGGACTCGTAAGAATCAACTATAGCTTCCCTTCAAGGTTACAACCTAAGTCTATTTATCTTATACCGAACTTTTCCAACCCATTGCTGTATCGTCCAGGGGATTCTCAAGTGGCTGTGCTCCCTCCGGCCTTTGACGGTCCCTTGTTTCTCTCCACATCGCACTGTGTATCAGCATCACCATGGATGTAGATTACAAAATCCAGGAGCAGATTCAGAGAGATGCTTCAAGCAAGCTTGATGTGAGTCCTGGCCTCGAACTTGCAATGCGAAACCTTCTAATCTAAGAGACCAATCAAGGTCATCATTGTTGGGGCTGGTTTAGGTGGCCTGGGTGCAGCGATATCCATTCTTCTTGCTGGGCATAATGTGACGGTTTTAGAATCAGCTTCTGAGATTGGTGAGATAGGGGCTGGCATCCAGGTCTTGCCAAACTCAGCTAGGGTTCTTTTTTCTTGGGGTTTGAAGGAGCAGCTGGAAAGATATGCCACGTTCCCGAGACAATGTAATTTCATAGGGTGGAAGGGCAACAAACTCTCCGACATGAACTACCATCAGTACGCCAAGGCGACAGGAGCGCCCTTTATGGATTTTCACCGGTCGAATCTTCATCAATGTCTGCTAGATAGGACCATTGAATTAGGTGGTAAGCTGCTGACAAAGGCAAGGGTTGAGAATTTTGTGGTTTCCGGGGATCAAGCAACTGCCACTGTCTACCTGTTAGATGGGAGGAGCATGACAGCAGACCTCGTTGTGGGCGCTGATGGAATCTTCTCTAAGATGAGAGAAATTTTTGTTGGCCGCCCCGACCCGCCCACACTGACCGGAGATCTTGCCTACCGACTGCTTTTAAATACTAAGGAGATGCTAAAGGATCCCGAATTAGCCCCCATGGTTGAGGACCCCCAGGTTAACTACTGGCTTGGGCCCGATGCTCAT